CCCGCCGGGGAAAGCGCTCGCCGCCTTCCTGCAAAGCGAGACCCCTCCGCCTTACCTGCTCTGGGAGCGATTGCCGTAGGGATGCAGCCAGCTCCCACTGGGAAAGGCCACGCGCCCTCCCCAGCTCACATGCAATAAATCTTCTCCCCCCTCCCTCCATGTCCGCTTGCCCTCGTGAAGAGATCAGACTGGCTGGGGTTTTATTATTTATTTAAAAAACAAAAAACAACAAAACACCCAAACAGAAGCATTCTCACATTCTGTCAAGGTCAGGGGAAAAGAAGGCGATGGTTATAAAACAGGACCCCGGGGCAAACAAGAGGCCATGCTCTGCCCTGGTTACGCAAGGCTGCGAGGGGAGGAGGAAAGGGAAACCCGACATGGGATTTAAGACACTGTTGGCAGGACACAGCAGATGATCAGCAAAATGAGCTACTCGAGGAGGGGGGAGAAATCAAGTAGCTGCCCAGGATTGCCTGCAGCCAAGCGCGGGCTCCACTGCAGCAGAGCCCGGGAGCTCCTCTGCTGCTTCCGAGAGCCGGCCGCCGGTCGTGGGCCACCCGCGCCCCCCCCCCCCGGCGCAGGGAAGGCAGGTAAGCGGCTGCTGGTCCGGTTTAATTCCGGTGGGGCCAGGGCAGACGCCAAGGCAGGTCTGAAAGCTGAAATGGATGCAGGCGGCTGGCAGAGATGAACTGGAGGGGGGGGGGAAAAGGAGGGGGGCCAGGAAGCCGGCATACCTGGAGCCCGCAGGATGTCGCTCCCAGCTGTCCCACGGCAGGGGATCACCGGTCGGTGGCCTCCCGACCACCGCAAGGCAGGTTTCCTAACGCTGAGCTCCATTTGCTGAGCCAGCCAGCAGCTCCACTGGGCAAGAGCTGGGCTAGATGGGAGGCCAGCACACATCAGCCCCCGGCCACTGGTTAGCTGTGGGAGCGCACTATTTGCAGCCCAAGAGCCACAGGAAGCAAGCTTATGAGGCGTGGGTTCCTCGCAAGTAATCCACCCCTCCTCTCGGGGCAAGCACCGCGATGGCCCAGCTCCAGCTGCTGCCTCTGCGCCAAAGGCAAGGAAGAGAGAAGCTTGCTGCGCCAGCGGGATGCGGAGCCAGGCGCAAGGATGTGCTGGCAGGGAAGAAAGCTGACCCTGGGCTACCTGCAGCTGAGTAGCAGTCTTAAGAGGGGATAAAACAACTGGATCGGCTTTTATTCAGCTCGCTCATTTGAACAGATACGTAAACAAGAAGTGACAAGGAACTAGAGGGAGGTGGTGCACACAGCCCGTGTCACGCACCGCTTGGGCAGAGGCTGAGCTAGCTAGAAGAGCGGACATCCACACTACCCCCTGCCTGGCAGTGGGGGGAGAGATGCCAGCCAAGCCTCCTGGAGAGATGGGGATCTTTACAGATTGTTTCTATTGATTTTTTTTTTTTTTTGAAGCTGTAATATCAGCATTTGCTGGTGTTGCGATCCCCAGAGGCATGCTGCATTGCTACAGAGCAGCGCTTTGGCTGGGTGGGATGGTCCAACAGGCCGGCAGCCAGCTGGCGTGCTCAGTTTGTTGCGGAACAGGTCACCTGTTCCTGGTTCTTTGTAAACCTGAGCTGTTTTCTTCCCCAGTCCCCCACCTCCCCCAGCAGTCATTGCGGAGGAAGAGGGATGCCCCGTGGGTCAGTGACTTGACCCTCTTGCAGGTTCTTGACGAGCTGAGCCAGCCAGCGCTTTGTGGTGGTGTCGTCCTTCAGGACCTGGGCGAAGGTGGTGTCCTTCAGTTGGTCAGGAAGGCACTGCCTGAGAGCTTCACGTGCCCTACATCAAGAGACAAGAAACAGGGCCCAACAAATAAACTCACAGGGGCAAGAGGGGAGCAAACCCCACTGGGGACCCCTGGCATGGCCGGCCAAGGAAAGCACCGAGCAGCAGCGCCGCAGCGCTCGGCCAGCCAGCGTGGCTCCCATCCCTCACCCCACCGAGCCAACCCCTGTGCCCTGACATGTGTCAGTCAAGAGCAATGCGATGCCAGGAGAGGCTGAGACAACAAATACATACCCAGCGGCTTTAGGCAGAGCTGCTGATCAGAATGAAATCGGTTTGTGTTCCCTCAACTGAATTTCATCTATTGCCTTCTACTGCTAACAGCCCACATGATGCAGAAGAGGGAGAGCGTGGCGTACCTCCCACCTCAGTCCCTCCCTCGTGCCCACTTCAAGCTACATTTCAGCTCAGGCAGTTGTAACCTGCACAAGCCCCAGACAGTTGCTGTTTCTCCAATGTACCATAAAAGCTCCTGGGACTAGCAATAAAAAACCCAAACAAACCAAAAAACCCACCCATTTTCCACACTAAGCTAAGGCTGACGCAAGGACAGACAAGGAACCTTGCCTCTCCCCGAGTGGGCACTGTGGAGAAGAACTGCACTTCCAAGGGAGCGGGAAAAGCCCCTGCCCAAACTCCTAAAATGTTTACCTGGGGTTATCGGAAAGGCGAAGGTAGCAGCGGACGACATGTTTCAGCAGCCGTGCCGACGGCTCCTTGGAGAGCTGCAGGACCATTTTACCCTGTTTGAAAGAGGCCAGTGCCACCAGTTAACGTCTTTGTAAGAACAGCTTCACAATCAGCAGAGACTGGGAAAGACCATTAAATCGCTCAGTCTGGCTTCCCACGCATCACAGCCCGTTACCGTTCATCTAGATACCCCTGCATGGAGCCCGGCGCTCTGCTTGCCAAGATGCCTTTGAGAAGAGCAGCTAGCCATGACCTGGAAAGGATTCTCCCAGCAGCTCGGGGAAAGCCTATCTCATCTCTATTTGGTTTTTACCTCCCCAGGACTGCTTAGTGGTCCAACTCGCTGCTAGATTAAAGAGAACCTGGGGTTTCCCCCTCGTGGAGGAAGGGGAATGTATCCCAGACGCTTTGATAAGCTCAGGCTGAGTTGCCCCGTGAGGTGTGTTCCCAAGCTCTACAATACTCCCCTTCTCATCTGTGCTGCCTTCATTTCAACGCCCTTTTAAAACATTAACAGCAGCCTGGGAAGCCACGCCGAAGGACTGGGCTCACCCACACCACGGAGAGCAAAATCCGCATCTGGTCTTACCACGCACCCAAGAGCTGTGTTTTCTCTTTCTGCTACACCCCTCATAAAGCCGTTACTGGGAAGCAAGACCAGGGCAGATCTCCCGGGCCCAGCCTCCATTTCTCACACTATGTAGGACTCTGCAGACGGTTGCACCTCTGAACGCACCCAGCCTAGCGAACAGCGTGGATGCCTTCACATGCCTGCTTTGAAGCGGTTTAACAGTCTGCTTCCTCGTATGTAGGAGTCAATCTGTGCAACAAGTTGTTTTTTTTCCTGCAAAACTACATTGGCTAGCACTAACCATTTTCCTCATTAGCCAAATTCACCTGCATTTGGGTATCCAAGCAGTTAGCAATTAGCAGGTCCCCCTCATCTGCCCTTTTGTAAGCTTCCTGTTCTCAGCAATTCCCCAGAATACCAGTATTTCTTTAAAATAAAGAACAACAAGTCAGGGAGCTCCTCAGACAGCTCCTGGATGGGAAATGCTAGCTTGCTCTTTTAAAAGCATCTCATACTTGTCTAACATCTTACTCATTATCAGCAAATGAGGAATTAAATCATCACCCTCATGAGACAGGAGTACACTATCTTGATTTTTGAAATAGAGAACAGAAAAGTCTATGAACATTTTCATCTTTCTCTGTAGCACTGTGGAGTATTAATCATGTCAGTGCTTCACCCAATGGTGGGATTATACCACAGCTACGATTTCTTCCATGCTAACACAGCTTTACACACCCACATCCTTCTGTGTTCGTACCCTTCCCAGCCACAGATTCTTCCTTGGTCTCCTTTCCTCCCCCACCCCAGGGTTTCTAATTGTGTCCTTCACTTTGCCCCTGAGCCAGATGTACTTTCATCAAAGCCAACCCTTTTCTTGAATGCAAAAATCATGTCACAGTGGATATTACGGACATCAGCTCACAATCATTCATATTTTGCTGTTTGTGAGTGAATTAGGAAGTAGCATTTTCTTTATGTTTGGGAAACCAGACAGACAAATAAATATTCCCAAGGAAAGCATCAATATTTAGGCACAGAAGCAGCACTGCAAAGTGCTTAACTTAATGCTGCATTTTCTTCTCCTGAGACTGCTCTTTAAAAAGCAACCAACCAAGCAAGCAAACACAAAAGCAGGATGATAGCTGTTCCAGGGCAGACATACATTCCCCTTGGTGAGCTCGAAGATAATAAAGCTCAAGCTGGGGCTATTACTCCTGGGATGAACAAATTACAAGTACCCAAACTTCTCCTTCACAGGGGACAGGGAAGGGACAAAAATCATCTGCTCTCAATGCGTTCCAACACAAGCATTAGCATCGTAAGCAGCAGATAGTAGAAGCCAGGTTCAGAGAGGGAAAAAAAGGAGGTTGGCCTTCCAGGCAGCGAACAGAAAACCTGTGGAACTCCTTGGTAAAGGACACTGTGGATGCAAAAAGTTTCCATGGGTCAAGAGGAGGACAGGACAAACACTGGGGGTTACTGCATGGAAAACCCACAACTGGCCCCAGAAATCCAAAGCTGAAAATAGCTGGCAGCTGCGAGACTGTTACACAGGCAAGTATCATATATGCTTGCCCTGCTCTTACTCCTTTGCTCAACCTGCTGCTCTTTCAACCTGTTGTGGGTGACAGAGATGGGAAATGGATCCATGGTCTGAGCTGTGTGATCATTCTTACGTAAAATTAAATCAATTCACATCCAACTAACAACCCTGAAAACTCTTCTTCTTCTCTGGAGATGTTTACCCGGTTTATCTTGGGGACTTAGTATATTACAACTAATATGTGTTCTCTTGACACGCAAACCAGAGATATACAAAGGAAACATGCAGAAGCAGATAGCTACAGTGTCACAAGCAGTAAGCCCAGGAATGATCCTGCGCCAGCCAGAGAGCAGTAAAGTAGCTGCTGAAGAAGCTGGCTGCCAGAGTGTAATTTTTTTTTTATTTTTTTTTTAAGAGCGGAAACAAATAATCTTACCAGTATCATGGCAACATGGGAAAACCGCTCGTAAGTCTGACAGATATATGCCAGCCCTGTGTCATCCAGGAGGATTTTCTGAAGAATAAATGTAGCAACCTAGAATGGGAAGAAAGCAGAAAAGAAAGTGTACAAACAACTTATCTACCCTGAAAAGGGACAGCCTTTGTGCTGTGTTCTTTTCAAGGCAGTTTCAGAGCTGAAAGGCCTTTCAGCAGGCAGCAAATGTTTTACTCAGTGAAAGTTTAAAGCCAAAAGAAAATGCAGGACACCACACAATGCTTGGCATCTCTGGCTAAAGAAAAGAGACGGACACAAAGCAGTGTGTGCAAGACAACTGGATGCAGGTTGCTTAAGACAGCAACTACTGCCGGGCCGCTCAGGACAGCCCCAGGATTACGGCCACACTACTCCGGTCACAGAGCAAGAAGCAGGAGAAGGATCTGTCCCTGGGCCCTGCCATCTAGGCAGCAAGCTGATTTTGGTTTTCATCTTGAGCATTACTGATTCACCATGAGACACGTGACTTTCTGGAAGAACCTCAGCCAGCAATGTCAGCAGGCTTCATCAGAGAAGCACACACCGACTAAAACCTGTGGCCAGCCTACCTGGGTCATCAGACCAGTCTGACCACAGATTTGAGCTCATGGGTGAAAGGGGCCCCTGATCAGAGGAGACAGCAAACTGGTCCAGTGTGGTGAACATTCCCATAACCACCACTAACAGCTGCCGCCCAACCTCTGCACTGCGTAGCTCCAGCATTTGTTCTCTCAGGCCAAGGAAAGTTGATCCAGCTCAGCCCCGAAACTTACTCTGCAGGGCTGCAAAGGAGGGAACGGGTGTTGAGAGCAGCAAGATCTTTCCCAGCAAAACTACCAAGCTCAGGAACTCCAGCTCCGTTTGGTGGTTTTGGTTTGTTTGTTTCTTGAGGAGGTAAAAACTCCACCCAGAGTTGCCCCGGCATTTGCAACGGGACGCAAGCCAGCTCTGCAGGTTACTGGCTGCCTGGCCAGTCAGAGATAAACAACAACAAGTCTTAATTAAGACAAAAAGAGTAGGTACCGTTTTGGAGAGTTCACTGCCAGACTCCATAATGCGTAAGCACAGGGGGATAATTTCTGTTGTCAATAAGAAATTTATCACTTCTTGCTCATCGGTTTTCACCAAGGCCCCTTGAAGGAAAAACAAAACCCCAAATTAATAAATGATATATTGTTTCAAAAAAATCTCACCTTTCAAAGAGGGCCTGTGCTGTGCCCTCCCCAGGAATCATTAAGTCTGAATGGCAGGCAGAGCAACTGTCACCTTAAATATGCTGCAGCACATGGCTGGAGAAGAAATCGTTTTGGCAGCGTAAGAGTAATCAAGCTGGGTTTGGGGGTTGTTTGTTTTTCAGAAAGGGGATGCATTCTTGGCTCTCCCCCAGTGGTAACACAAACACAAGAGGATCATGCCACCCTCAGCAACCTCTGGGAAAAAGAAATGCATTTTAAGACCCTCTTACTTTATGCATTGAGAGAGAAATGTTTTGAGCAGAAAGAAGAAAACACCCCACAGGGTGAAGGGGAAGACAGGGCAAATACACCCAAGTCAATCAATGACAAAAACCCAAAGAAAGCCCAGTTTGTACCCACCCATCCCATCCCAGCTGGCTGGGCTGAGGGTGAAGGCACAACGAGCCTGCAGGTGCTTGTACTCACAGGAAACATTTTTGGCAATGCACCCAGATTTCAGTGTTTTCTTATTAGTGAAAAGCCCAGTTCCTACACACTAAGAGGAACCTGCCTCCACAACTGATGGAAAAGGAGCAGCTCCTCCTGTTAATACTACAGGACTCGGAAGATCCCAATTAAAAAAAAGAGACCTGTGATTTTGGTCGTGCAGGTCTCTATACCCACAGCATGAACTCCATCCAACTTGATAAGAAACCAGTGCTCCAGCATTAGTCTGGCTGCTTACCAATCACTCCGAGGCTGGTGAGCCGCAGGTACTCAAACGGACGTGTCTTGCTAACTGTGTGCAAGAAGGGGTACAGGAAGAGAGGGATATGAGCTGCCAGAAAAGCTGACCTGTAGGAAAGGGAGAACACCCAACGTGAGAGACAAGGAAAACAAAGCGAGCACACAATCCAGTGTTACCATGCAGAGCCTCAGACTATTCCTGACAGACACCATGGCTGCTGCTCCTCAAAACAGGGTAATAGTTTGTTCTCTGATGGAAAGGTATGAAGTAAATTCTGCCCTGGGCACAGCACAAAACCTAACACCTAAACTGTCAGTTACCTGCATGGCTGCTTCCAGCTGACCAGAACAGAGCACGTCCTGTTGTTTTTATTACCTCTTGCTGCCACCCAGACCCTCTGCTTTGTACATTCACTGTTGCATTTCGCTTTGCAGGCTCCCACAGGCAGGGACAGTCAGCCACAATGCATGTGCAAAGCCTCTGCATGACAGAAATCCAGACTGGCTGATCTCTAGGCATTACCACAGTTTAAATGTACACAGCCACCTTTCTGCAAGAGTCCTCACGCTGCCTTCTGACAGTAGTGAAAGATACAGACTGCAGGAAGAAACCTGGAGATTGCTCTGATAGCAGAGGGAAGCTCTCTTGCACAATCACTCAACATTCTTCCTCTCTTTTCAGTTTTCAAACTTTCAATGTAAAGGTGTGTGGTGTAAAACTACCCTATTTCTTTGGATATCATCTCATGGAGGGTTGCTGTTTAACACTACTTTGCAGCAGCAGAACAGCAGCTTCAGCTATGCAGCACTTTCTTTTCAG